TTAGTAGATTATAGTTTTAAGAGAATTCTAAGGAATCTCTTTTGTAGAATAGATCTTGATTAAGATCTATTAATTTGTCTTGTTAATGAACTGAACATTACATTTGTCTTGAAATTACATATTGGAATTAGATTACATTCTAGCTAGTTACAATAAGAACACTATCATTATCTATCTTTAGATTAACTTGAAAATAATAATAGAAATATTCTTGTCAATAAACCTTTTAAAGACTCTCTCAAACATTAGTTTAAACACGTGATCACTTTTATCACATATTTTTGTAATATTAGATTTAATACTTGCCCTTTTTCTCAGAACTCACACCAAAAAGGTAACAATATTCATCTTAATTTTAATACTAACTGGAGATATATATCTTCTCAATAATATAAAAAGTAGTAAGTAAAATATATTTATATTAATATTATTATGTTATGAATTTTTAATAGAATATTAATTAGTTATATATTATTAATTACTTCATATCACAATATAATTAGATGAATAATTACTTATATCTTATTAAATATTAGTTTTAGAAAATATTATTTGTAGATATTTTTGTAAATATAATAATCATAATAAAATTATTATAGTAAAGTTAGCAAAACTATCACAGTAAAATTAATAATGCTATTATAATAAAATCAATATTATAATACTAACTAAAGTGATATTTAGATTATAGTAAAACTAGCATAAGTATCATAACAAAAGTATTATTTATATAATCTCTAAAATATATAAAAGTGATATATCTTAGCTAGTAAAATTAGATAATTAATTAGTAGTTAATTAATTTGAGTTTTATAAGTTTAATTCTCAGTTTATCTTTAAGTAGATTATAATTTAAAGAGAATTTTAAGAAATTTCTCTTGTAAAATAGATCTTGATTAAGATCTATTATTTTATCTTGTTAATAAACTATTTATTACATTTGTCTTGAAATTATACTTTAAAATTGAATTATATTTTAGCTAGTTATACTAAAGAATATTATTATTATCTGTCTTTAGATAAATCTTAATAAAACTTAATATAATAGTATTTGTATTTTTGTCAATAAATCCTTTAAAGATTTTTTTAATATTATTATAAAATATGTGATTACTTTTATTATATGCTTTTAATATATTAGAATTAATACTTATTTCTCATAATAACTCACATTAAAAAGATAATAATATAACAAAATTATAGTAGAAAAAATAATTATTAATTATCAAGTCTTATTCTATTCATTTAATTTTAATAATGTATTTTAATTTAATTTAATTACAAAAAATTATTAACTGTCTTAATAAAGTTAAAAATCATAAAATCTTGATTTTGCAAATATTTATTAATGATCTTAGATACTTTTTTTTGAATTATTTATATATTAATATATAATTTTATAAATATTATCTCTAGATTCTAACTCTCAGAATAAAGTTAAATATAAAATATTTTCATAAATTATTTTAAATATTTGTATATATTTTTAGCTTATATATATAGATAATATATTTTGATACTGATCACTAATAAAATAAGAAATAATTCATTCTTGTACTTTATTTAGTTTAGTATATAGATTCTCAAAAATAATAATTATACTTTATTCTGATATGAATTTAGTTATATATAGAATTTTATCTAAAGATAATCTTTTAAATATAATATTTTCTTGATATAATTTTAAACTATTTGTAAAGATCTGATAGTTATTTTATACAAGTTATCATTTAGACTCAAAATACTTATCATTTAATATAAAATCATTATTTTTAATATATTACTGATCTTTTTTTCTCTTGAATATATATTATAATTTGTTATCAAGCATAAGATTTATAATTATATTAGTTTTTCTACTATAGGAATCTCTATATATCAGTAATCTAAATAGAATATCTGATAAATACTTATTATTTTTTATTTATTCTAAAAATTTATTAGATATCTTATTAATATTATAAATATTTTTTCTTCTTTTATTCTAATTAATCTAAATAATACTTATATATTTATTCTTTATATGATAAATAATCTCTCTCTTTTTATAAATACATATAAATTCAAGTTAAATAATATTTCAATCAGATCTATATCTTACTTCTTGCATATCTCTCACTTTTTTTTATCATATATCTTTTATTTATCTAAATTAATTTAATCTTGCTTATAGAATATTGTATTCCAATACTTCTTAATACTTTTATACTAGATATAATTTCTTATTATATTTATCAAGTCTAAATTTATTTAAAAATTTATCCAAACATGATAAGAATTTCTTATCTAATAAATTCTTAAAAATATATTTATAATATTACTCATTCTTATTATAAAAATAAAGTAAATATTACTTAAATTTTATTATAATTAATGAAAATAGATACTTAAATTAATACAATTTATTTTCATAAGTTCAGAAAAATATATTCTGATTATTTATTTATCTAGTTTTAGCTAAGATATTTTCATCACATCTTCCAGTATATTATTGTATTCTGTCAAATTTATTATTAGAAATATAAATAAAATATATCAATTCAGAGAAATGATATTTTTATACAAACTCATTAGGTAAGTACTTAACCTTTTTAGGATTTTTAATTATTGAAGCTTCTCTCTCTTAAAAATCTTTTAAAATTATGACTTATTAAATATTTAGTTAAATCAATTAACTTATCCTCAAGATAGTATAAAACTAATTGTAATAAATTTTTACTAATAATAACTTTTTTGATTTTATAGATATGTAATGATTATTATGAGTTAGTTTTTCTATATATATATTCTTCTTCTAGCTTACTGAATTTTAATAGATATCTTACTATAAGTTTCTTCTGTAATTATAATTTATTCTTTTCAATAGATCTTTTAGATTTGATAAATACTTTAGGTATTATTTTTTTTAATATTATTATATATAATGATAATATATCTATTAATTAAGTTTTATTATTATTCATATAATTAATAATTTTCTGAAGTATTTTATTTTATAATTTTAAGTATTTATCTTCTTTGAATTTTCTCTCTATGAAATATTAAATTTGTATATAAATTATTAAATCTTATTTGAATTTTTTAATTAATATTAAATTCTCAAAGCTATAAAAATTAATAATAATTTTAATTTTATATATAAAAAAATTTTATTAAAAAATTTTAATATTAAATTAATAATTAAATTTAATAATAAAATAATAATAATATAAAAATATTTATATTATTTTTATTTTAATATAATTATAAAATTAAAATTTTTTTTAATTGATTAATATTATTAAGTAAATATATTATTATTAATTTATTTTTTACTTTAATTTTATAATTTTAATTATATTATTTTATTTTTTCTTTTTTATTTCTTAATAATTTTTATTTTTTTTATATTTTTTTATATTTTTTTTATTATTATATATTAATTATTAATTTATAATTATTTTTATTTTTATTTATTTTTAATTTTAATTTTAATTTTTATAATTTATCTTATTTTTATAATTAACTTTTTTAATAAAATATTTATTACTTAATTAATAATTAAATTATATTTTTTTAATTATCTTAAATATTATTTTTTAATTTCTTATTAATATTTTAAATTATATATAATAAAACATTGATTTGGATAATATTATAACTAATTATCTATTTGTATGATGTAACATATGGTACAGCTATAACATGTGATATAGTAATTACTGATTATTATTAAATTAGATAAATAAGAAATTTATATTAATTAATCTTATTTATTATTAATTTTATTTTTAGTTTATATTATTATTCATATTTAGTCTTATTCTTTTATTAATTTAGTCATGTGTATCATACTTAATTTATAATGAATAATTACTTAATTAATTATTATTAATTTTCTTTCTTAACTTTAAATAACTTAATATTTTGCTAATTTTAATTTTTTATTATTATATATATAATATTTTTTGTAATTATTCTTTTCAAATTCTACTTGTTCTTAAGTAAATTAAGTAAAATATCATATTAGAATTGATTTAAAATTAGCGTAGCAAGAAAATATTATATATAGAATCAAGAAATAATTAAAAAGAATAATTAAGTTTGATAGAAAGAATTAGCTACTAAGTCAAGAGTATTTAATTAGTATTTTTTTTCTTTAATAAATACATATTTTATCACATATCTTATCTTTATTTTCTTCTTACTTTATTGAAAAAGCATTTTGATTAGAAGTAAACTTATATAAATTATCTTATTGAGAAGATAATTATAATTTGTCAGAAATAAAACTCACATATATATTATTTTATTGAGAAGATAATTGATTATATAATCTCTTAAAGCTATAAAAATAAATAATTATCATGAATATAATTATTATTATAATTTTAAAATACTTATATATAGCTTAAAATGATAATAATTTCATATTAATTAGATAATTATCATACTTAATATATTATTAATTTATCTAATATAATACTTAATATTTTACTAATTAAATTATATAATTAATTATAAATTAAATAATATTTTACATAGATATAAATTAATATAACTTAAATTATTATAAAAAAATTTTTATAATTAATAAATCAAAATAAATTTAAAAGATTTATAAATAACTAAAAAACAAAAATTTTTAATATATCTTTATTCTTATTATTTTAATATATTTTAAAGAGATGTATTTTTTAATAATTCACTATATTTTTAAAAATAGATTATTACACTATATCCTTGCGCATTGATTGGTTGATCAACTTTAAGGATAAGAATCACATGATCCGTCACTGAAGATCAGAATGTTAAATTCCCTTCAAAATATATAGACCAAAACAATAAAAAAAGGATCGTGTGCTTTATATAATTAATTATCTCGCGATAATTTCTGCGTATTAACCAAGATCCCTTTTTGTCAAATAATAATACATATATAGTATAATTCATTATATTAATTGTATATCCAAGAACACGAATCATCGTGTAGTATTTCGTTTTTTCTTACATCATAATCTTTACAAGCCAACACTAACTGAAGCATTCTCTAACCCCGCCTCTTGTATGGTTTGATCAATTTTCTCAATAAGTTGCTGCCGGTTAAATACAAGCTTTGAATAAAAAAGAAATTTGATGAATGATGATTTAGTTACTTCGATGGAATTACTCGAAAAGATTTAGTAAGGACGCATAGGACTAATGACTAACCTCAAAAGGCTGATCAGGCACAAATTCTGATTTTATATACTGGAATAAATACAGCAGAGGGTCTGATTTGCGAAATCGACGAACCTTTTTTGAGCTGTCTGTTTTGTTTTGAGCAACAAGAGAAGTATAATACTATGTTCCAAATTCATTATCTCATATTTGAAAATCAATTAGACATGTATGAACAACTAACCTGGAAGGCGGAACTGGATTCGAGTCACATTAGCTTCACCAACTGGTGGCTCTTCTCGTTGCACAGGTTTGATGGTATCAAACACAGTGTTGGTGCCCGGAGATTCTTTAATAGCATACAATCATCAATTATTATGCTGTTTGTGTAAGTGACAATGACTTTTTTTTGAATGCAGTAAAATACCATGTGTTGATTCAGTTTCGGCGACTATTGGCGTTTCTTCGCCGTTATTGGATATTGAAGGTCTATTGTTCATTGATTCTAGCATGGCCGCATTCATTTGCTCCTCTTCAGTCATGTCTGAGATCCCCTGTTAAGTTATCAATGTAATCAATTTATTTTATTCATTATATATATTTTTAATAGAAAATTATAAACTAGAAATCAAAGAAAATTTTACTTTGACTTCACGAACATTCTCGATTTTTATTTTTGATGATAGATCTGACAGGGAATGTCGCTCCAAAAAGTCAGTTACTTTTAAAACGGTAAGATAAAAATCGTGAGATTAGTGAAATCATCTAATTACTAAAATAAGAATCTGGTAGAAAGAATTACCAGAAATTATGAACTCTGCCGACTCCATTTGCTTGTTCCAGACTTTTAAACGTTCACCTATACAATAACACGCAAAAAATCAAATTCGAAATCACGCACACCAGTACAAGATATAATATGCATAATTATTTTTCTATGCAATGGCTTAATTTACAAACCAGTTCTTGGATCAATTATAGCAATGTGTGGATAATTTTCAATAGGATAAAAAGAATTATATCTTCGGCCCTCGGGATGATTAATATTAAACTTTATAAAATAAAAATCCCGGAAACAATGTATCATTACATGTAAGTCAAATAATCTATTTGAAATCCAAAACAAATAAGTTCTACAACTCACTTGTAAAAAGTAGAAATGGGCTCTGATCACGTCTTTGACAGTATTATTACTCCATAGATCGCGATTCAGCCCCATACAAGAAAAATCGTTATCAGCTTGGATGTTGACCATCAACCATTTGTTCTCATTTCGGGCTCGAGCCCGTGTCTTAAGAAAATGGAAAAATGCGTAAGCGATAAAAACCATATCTAATTACTAGTACAAACAGTAGTATACATCGTTAAGTTTAATACCTTTTCGAAATCTTCTTTGTGCATAATATCATATGGAGGTCTAAATAAAATATCAAAGGCGGATTGACCTTGATCGGAGCCTGAAACAAATAGACATTACAAATCATTGAAACATAATTAACAATATTCTTAGTATTATTATTGTTGTTTTATTTTTCTTACTTGAAGTATCAGCTTCCCTATGAAACTCATCAAAATCTGTTCCGCGTGTGTGAAAGCGATGATGATGAGGAGGAAAATGTAATCTACGACCTATTCAAAACAATGATTTAATGAAAAAAACAAGATACGCGTATATAAAATAAATTACTCGAATAATACCCACTACGAAATAAAGCATCCGTTATACTATCATCAGCATCCGATTCACCGACCAAAACTTCGCGTACTGGCGGAATAGGTGCACGTACATAATTCTCGTCGACGGGCTCTTCAGCCAACTGTCTCGCGAGTGCAGCATCGTCGACACGGTTGTTCTCTTCGGCCAACCGCCTAGCAAATGCTGCATCACGTTCCAATTCAGATTCAGCATCAATGTCGCTTAAATCTCTGTCTGATGATTGCTGCTGGGAGCCCACGAGTGAAGATAGATCGACTCCACCACTTTCTAGGAAAAGTGTTATAGCTTGCTCGACATTTCCATCTGATACCTTTCATAAAAATCAAGCTTGTAGTCCAATTTTTTGCCATGATAAAGTTTTGCACGACAACAAATAATAATAATAATAATAATATAGCGAGCGTTTTAATTTAGACGCATAGCAATATATAATGTACCGTCAAGTATGTTCTTGCGACTGTGGGGCTGGCGTTGGTGACTCTACAGAAATTCGCAATATCTTCTTCGGAGATAGTGATGTTTGCGGCCATGGTTTTGAGTGAACTTTTGGGGCTTGTGGATTTGGTTAGACGAACTGACTGTTCAAATGATAATGAAAATACGCAATACTACACTACGTCTTAGTGAAAAAGTGTTCGGAGTAGAATCGTTTAGATCCAACTTTTTATTATATAAACTTGCGTCATCGAATGACGCAATAGTTGTCATATTATTAGTTTTTGGCGTAGTAATTTGAAAAAATTGTAAAGCGATAGTCAAAATCCAAATCAAAGTTGTCAATTTTTTATCAAGCATTTTTAAACTTCATCAACACATCAATCCGAGAACTGCTAAATATACCATCAAAATATCGCATTCCTTCTTGAATAAGTGATGAATTAATTAAAGTGAAATCTAGATAAACTATTTCACGAGATATCAAATGAATATCATTTTTAATAACTCTCGAGTCTTTCTCGCAGTACTTTTCAGATCAATGACTATGGGTAAATCTCACAAGTACATAAAGTTCACCCAGTTGTGCCACGTTTGCATTTATGTAACCTACAGACTAATCTAAAATTACAATTCAGTTTATTAAACAAACGCCTAGATTAAACCTTTTTCTTCTATATCCGCGTTTGGCGAAGCCTTCGTGCAATTTCTTTAATTAATAGAATTAATAGTGGAAATCGCGTAGAAGAATGTTATTTCATGTTATTAAAGATGCTGCTTTTAAATTTTACTGATTTTTCTTTTACTAGAAAAATTTGTTGATGACGGAGATTTTTTAATGCAAATATCTAACGTTAATTCATTCTACTAACATATAAACACGTGGATTTGTATCATTGTTATGGTGCAAGAAGTCAAGAGCTTTACTAATTTTCACTCAAGGTTTTATCGATCCCAGAAAACCGGGAAATTCTACGTAATCAATATTAGGTTAAAGATTAGGGTTAGAGTTGAAGTCCGAGATATATATAAAATTGTCTTCCCGACATTTTTAATTAATACGCCAAGACATCTTCATTTTTTTTGTATTTGATTTGTTTTGCCAGGCTAATCAAAAAAATTATGCATTCTTATTGGTTGCTGGAATGACCAATAGAAAAATCTAGATGAAAATAATATTTTTTCCAAATATGGGATCAGTGCAAAAAGATTTGTATCTCAATATAAAAATCAATAATTACTTTTAATAAAAATCATTCAAATTTTAATTAATTTTTATAATTTTTTTATATTAAATAAAAATGATTTAAATTAATTTTTTATATTATTTTAATTATTCTATTAATTCAATAATAAATAAAGTATTACTTTACTAAAAAAAACTAAAATAAAATTATTTTTTTAAAAAAAAGATATTTTAAATATTATCATTATCAATTTATAATATTAAAACTTCAAATTATATAAGTAAATTGCTCTAGATTTGATAAATATATATTCTAAATTTCATAAAAATTAAATTAATAATTATAAAAATATTAAAATTAAGAAAGAATAATTAAAAAAGTTATTATTAGTAAAAAATTTTTTTATAAAAGATATATAATAAAAATTATTATATTTAAATAAAGAAAAAATATATTTATTACTACTGATAATAATATTAGATTTTTTTTTGTGAAAAATTTTTTAGTATTTTAATATAAATATCTTATTAGAAATATTAATTAGTTATTCTAAAATAAAATTTCACAAGAAATATTTTTTCTTAAAATATAAAAGATAATTTTATATTATATATAAAATTTGAGTTATCATTATTTTTTGAAAAATTATTTAATTTTAATTTTTTTGATTTTATAATTTAATTTATTATTATTTTTATTATATATGAATTCTACAATTTTAGTGATTAATCAAATAATTTGATATTATTATTAATAATAATAAATAAATTTACTCTTAAATAAATTTTAATATTGTTATCAATTTAAGATTATGCATATGTAATTATTTTAAAATGATAATAGTGATTGTGTTCATGGTGATTATTTACTTTTATAGCTTTAAGAGATTATATGATTGATTATTCTTTCAATAAGATAATATATGCAAAATTTACTTCTGATAAAATATGATCATCTTCTCAATAAAATAATTTATATGTGTTTTACTTATAATAAAATATGATTATCTTCTCAATAAGATAATATATATAAGTTTTATTTTTAATCAAAATATTCTCTTAATAGAGCAAGAAGAAAATAAGATAAGATATAAGATAAATTATATGTATTTATTAAAGAAAAATACTAATTAACTACTCTTAACTTAGTAGTAATTACTTCTATCAAACTTAATTATTCTTCTTG